ATAGGAGTCATCAGCGTGCCAGGCAAAGTGCTAGCAGGCGCAGTGAAGACTCGCATTGCACCAGCACTGCAGGTGAGCTCACAGCTTCAGCCTCAATTTGCGTACATCAGGCAGAGGGGGGTGCGGGACGCCATCGCGAAAGCATGTCAGCACCTTGATTTCGCGCAGCAGCTCCGTCAAGAGCATCGCAGGGACCTGCACAAGTCCCAACGTGGAGCTAGGCAGGCTCAGCTGTCAGGGGCACTCACTATTTCGGTTGATCTGAGCAAAGCTTTTGATTCTGTTAATAGACATGAGCTGCTAGCTGCCTTGGATCGCCTGGGAACAGACCCTGTTACGAAAGAACTGGTAGTTCAACTACACAGTGAGACCTCCTACAACATGGGCACAGGTGGACTAGAGATTCAAGTTCCCACTTCTTCAGGAATCAAACAAGGTTGTAAGCTAGCCCCGGCATTGTGGTCTGCGCTGACACTTCTAGTCATGAGCAGAATGGAGCAGAAATGGGGCCCAGATAGCAAGCAAGCTAGGGAAATCCTAACGGTCTTTGCAGACGATTTCCTGCTCCAGGAAACCTTCTCGAGCTTTCCTGAACTTCAGAAAGTCCTGCTCAGAATAGAGGCTCTCTTTCAGTCTCTTGAGGACGTGGGGCTGGAAGTCAATCCAGCGAAGTCCAAAGCCTTGCTAATGGTTCAGGGCACTCAGCAGTCCATCTTTCGCAAGAAGCACACGATGCGCAAAGAGAAGCAGTTGCACATCGTCCTTCCCTCAGGACATAAGATTCCGATTCATCACAAACTGACATATCTAGGGGTGCAGCTCAGCTATGGATCCTACAAAGACCAGACTGTTGACTATAGGATCGCCCAAGCTCAAGGCAAGTTTGAGCTACTTCGACACATCCTGTGCTCCACTAAGGCCTTGGAGGCTTCAAAGAAGTTGGAGATCTGGAGGGTCTATGTGGAATCCTCACTCTTGCATGGGCTTGTGGCCACTGGCGTCACCTCATCAGGTCTTCAGAAGCTTCAGAGTAAATACTCTAGGATGCTAAGATCCATCTTTAGGCAACATCAGCACTACAGCCATATTGACACGAAGACTCTGTTCGAGCAATACAAGGTTCAGTCTCCTCAAGCAGTTTTGATCAGCCAGATGAAAAACTATCAAGACGCACTAGATGCCTGTCAGAAGTCCAACCCGGATCAGAACATACAGAGGCATCTGGGACTTAGAGGTAGGATTGTTGCGCTGCAACTGGAGCTTCAGAGCATGCATTTAGACTTGACTGAGGCAGATCAGGCGGTACCGTGCTCTCTGTGCGATCGGCAATTCTCCAGCGCTAAGGGTCTTCAGCAACATACTCTGGTGAAGCATGGAGGACAGCGCGCGAATCAGCTAGGCCCAAAATTTCAGGTCACTGTGCATAGCTGCAAAGGACTTCCGCAATGTGCGGCATGCAACAGGCAGTTGCGCACAATGCATCAACTTCGCAGACATGTGGAGTCAGGCATTTGCCCTCAGCTGCACGAGCTGAAAGAACGAGCCAAATCCTGTACGAGCTCAGAAAGCATAGCAATGATCTATCAGTCTAGCGTGCAGGAACAACTTAAGAAGGATCCTGATCTTCTACTAAAAAAGAGACATGTCACTCAGCATCTATTAACGAACTGCAGTCTCTGTGGGCAATACATTGTTGGCCACAAAGGAGTGAAACAGCACATTCAGAAAGCTCATCCCGCTTTCTGGGCACAATCCTCGGCATCCATTCTTGCCAACATGCGAACACATAAGCGCCTCCTGCACAAAAAAGAGGAATGTAGGTATTGTCGCATTGTGGTAGATGCTCCAGTACGCCATGCAGAGCAATGTGTGGTTCTGCTTCAGACATACGCCATGAGTGCAGCTTGTGCCAAGCCTATGGAGCTGCCAGATCTCTTCAGTGCAGATCCTCCAATTAGCCAGGTGAGAGGAAGGGAGGCTTCCTCCCAGGAGGCTTCCTCCAGCAGCCGAGCTTCTTTGCTGACATACACTGCACGCGTCTCGGGTCGTTCAACCACTGCACCTCCCACAGCTTCCATGCAAGACGCTGCCTGGCGTCTAGCTTATCATAATCCGCATCAACTGTGCTATGCACACACGGTCGTTCATATCCTTATCTCTCTCTTGTCAGACGGACTGTTCCCAGATCCTTCTTTAAATTCCGTCCTAACGGAAATAGGTTCCCTGAATGGCAGATCCTCTCATGCGGATGTTCGGAGGTTGCGACATCTTCGTCCGCTGCTAGCGGGATGGCGATTACGACCCAGGCAGGAGGATGCATCTCAATTTCTGTTGCATATCTCTCAGCGTATTCCAGATCTTTCATCAGATAAATGGGAGGCGCGAGTTCATATCTCAGCACCGGAGGAACGCATAAGTGTTGAGGAAAAAGGTGGCTTGATTCTGTATCTACCCGAGCCGCCGGATGGACTCTCGACTCTTCAGCAATCAGTAACACAATGGACGAACAGGGGTAGTGTGTTTGCCTTGCTTCCAGATACAAGACTCATTTGCTTACAAATTCAAAGATTTGATCAGCAAATCAAAACTTCCCGCCCACAAGCGCTGGACACAGTTCTTGAGATGCCAATGTTTCTAGATAACGGAACCTCAACAGAAGCAGTGTCCTTTAGCCTCTATGCATTCATTATCCATATCGGCGAAGACTGGAGCTCTGGACATTACCGAGCGGGGTTTTGGAGAGATGGAGTTGCGTACCTAGCTGATGATAGTGATCCGCCAAGATGCACCATGCTCCTCTCGGATCAAATATGCCGAGGATCGTACTTGGCCTTCTATGTAAGAGATTAGATTCAGCCAGGCAGCCATGAGGCAGGCCTTTGCCCAATTGTCAGCACCCGCCAAGTCCAAGCACGCATGCGGAGGTTTCCTCCGGAGGCATCCTCCGCAGCAGTGTTCTTTCTTAAAGAAGACCTATCTTCCTGCTGTTGCTTAAGGCAACTAGGCATGAATGCTGCCCTGCGCGCAATAAAGCCATGATCTCGTGCTAAAAAGTACAGTCTCTTGCATGAACCTTCACATGCGGAGGTTTCCTCCGGAGGCTTCCTCCCCGGTAGTGTTTCTTACAGTAGACCGTTCTGCCTGCTGTAGCGTAAGGCCAAGCTTACCCATTTTTGTCCCTGAACCTGAAGCATCTGTAAGAGCCCTGTGCGCATTTCCTTTGACCCCAGCAAAATTCCCCCCCGAACATGTGAGGCCTCCTCAAGGACGGTGGGTTCAACTTAGAGTCACTTTTTCGGATGCAACCTGCCTTGTCGCAGCGCTGGCCCCGAGAGCCGTGCAAGGTGTCCCAGGTCAGGTGCTTCCCTCTTCGCAAAGTACTCGTACCTATGTGAGACCTCCTCCAGCCTGGTGGGTTAAGTTCGGCCAGTTGGGGTCACATTTTCTCGACCAGGTATGAAATTTTGCCCTGTCGCAGCGCTGGCCCCAGGAGCCGCGCAAGGCGTCCCAGGTCAGGCTTCGCAAACTCAGCTTCCCTGCATCCAATTTGGGCATCCTACTTGGAATGTGCAAGTTGATTCATTGCATCAGATTAGGAGGTTTCCTCCTTAATATCCTTAACCCCACATTTTCTCGACCAGGTGTGAAATTTTGCCCTGTCGCAGCGCTGGCCCCAGGAGCCGCGCAAGGCGTCCCAGGTCAGGCTTCGCAAACTCAGCTTCCCTGCATCCAATTTGGGCATCCTACTTGGAACGTGCAAGGCCGCCTTGGTGCGCTCTGCCTACGGCCCTCTGCCAGTTGTTTAGCGTTACCTGTGTGAGACGTCACTAGACGGGAACGCTGAGTGTCGGCCTCACCAGAGGTACGGCTCGCTAAACAGCTGGTGCGTGGGTGCTGGACGCAGTGACTCACAGTAGGGTGTCGGGGTAGCCGCGCTTACTTTTCACTCTTTTGCAGTGCTGAGTACTTGATATCGGAGGCTGCCTCCGTGCGAACTTCATTTCTTCATCGATTCGCTGCATCAGACCAGGAGATGTCCTCTTGATTTCCTCAAGTACTCTGCCAAATCAGATTCAGTATAGCAGGTAGTGAGACCTGGCAATCTGGAGGAAGCGATCCTCTCGAAGTCCAAAAGGCCGGACTGTGAAATAAAAAAGGCGGGTGAGACCTTCTATATCACACTTGCCCGCCTTAATCACACCAAACTCAGCTAGCGCACAGCTATAGCCTGCAACACAACATCGGGGCCAGCCGGCACTGCAGCAGTCGCGGGTGCAGGTGAGCCAGTAGGAAGCGGTCGTAGGGTGCCCAGCCAGCACAGCGCTATCGCAGCCCTGAGGGGCGGATGCATTCCACATACTCGAACATAGCTGTGCACAACAATCCTTTCAGCAGCCCTGAGGGGCGTGAAGTACGAACTAGCAAAGACTGCTGGAGCTCCCAAGGCGGATACAGAGTAGCCGACGTGCCGAGGATCCAAAGTGATCAGAGGTCCACATGCTGATTCTGGCAGTGAGTGCAATGCAAAATGTTGTTGTTGCTGCTGTTGCTGCTGTTGCTGTTGCTGTTGCTGTTGTTGCTGTTGTTGCTGCTGCTGTTGTTGCTGTTGTTGTTGTTGCTGCTGCTGCTGGTGTTGTTGTTGGTGGTGGTGGTTGTGATGATGATGTTAATACTGTTGTTATCGGGTTGTTGTTCTTGTTCTTGTACCCGCTGTCGCCGTTGTCATTGTTGTCGTCGTTGTCGTCGTCGTCGTCGGTGTTTCTGGTGGTGGCGGTGTTGGTCGTGTTGTTGCTTGTTTTTGGACTCCCCCCCCCCTTTCTGCGCCCATGCCTTAGTTCTTGTTGCTTTGGGGCGTGGCCGGATGCTGGCGACAGCCCTATGAAACTTCTGCCCAGGCCTCTGCCAGGCTGCATCATCTGATTTTGCATCCTTTGCTTCTGAAAGGCCCTCAAAGGCTGGTGAATTTCTTGAAAGGCGCTTTCCCATCTTGGGCTGCTACA